TAGGTGAATTGAAATGATTTTGCCATCAGTTCAACGCTTTATTTTGGAGTTGTGATGCTCAGTGAAAACCTCATTCTGCTGTGCTTCTGTGTTAGCACTGTTGCATGTGTTACTGGCATTCTCAGCTCTAGTGGGAGAGGAGTTAATGACCTGCAAATCTGTGCTAAAGCAGGCCGGGAAAAAATCTAGTTATTAATTGTGGTGGGATTCTTTTAGTCCATTAGTGAAAAAAATAATAATAAGGGGGTCTAGGCAGGCCAGTGTGGTTATTCTTTGATAGAAAACTGTGAGCCTTGTCAGCAGCCCAGCTCAGAGTCAGCAGCACACAGCCACAGAAACCAAGGGGCCACGTGCACAGAGACATCCAAAAAAGGAGCACTTCTCTGGATTTTAAAGTTTGCATTTCATGTCTATAATCAGGAGGGCAAGCAAGTGACTCAGAAACTTTCCGGGTTAAAAATAGTTCTTACAGTGTTGCAGATGGTTTCTTACCTTAGAACCTTGGCATCTTATTTGTGCACGTATAAACAAGATTTGAAGGGTGTTATTATAAGAGGAGTTATTAAATTGGGGGAATAGCGAATGCAGAGGAATTTAGGAAAGGAGTATGATTTTGGATGATTTTTAGGTCATTAACTGGCTGTGTAACACAATAGTCAGGAAAGAAGAATTAAAATGTCCTGTTTTGTAGAGAAAACAGATGAGGGGTGGAACATTTAATGTACTTAAAATAGAATATAAGGTATAAGTGTGCCTAGTGGACAGTTTTTCAATGAGGAATAGATGATGCTGTATGGATGCATACAGGTCAAGTGGAAATAAAGAAACCAAAAGTAATTCCAAGGGGCCCTCTGTTACTAAAATGTCCATAATCACTACGAAAATCTGTGTGCAGAACTTCTTCTAAGATAATAAAATACAGCTTCAAAGCAAAGCAACACAAGATTTCGCATTAGATCTCATCAGAGGGACATGTGAAAACAGATGTTCTCTGCCTAAATTAATCCTTAGAATGTTAATTAGTTCATTCTCCTTTTAGTTTTTTTTTTTTTTTCTTTTATCTTATTCTTTAGTTGTTTCCTTTATCTTACAAGTTGTCTCTACTGGTTCCACTGTTTTCACTTTGTACTTTTTCTTTTTTATTTTTTTTTTTTTTTGACTCTCACCCAGCAATTAGACTTTAATAGAGCCCAGGCACACGGTCCAGGAAGGTGTACAGTGCTAAGACATCAAAATTCAGCAGAAGAAAGTGATGGTATATGTTCTTTTCTTTTTTTATTTTTTTCCCTACCAGTTAAGAGAAGTATCCTCACAATTCCTAACTATGTAGAGGGGGAAAAGAATATTTTATTATTAGATTTCCTAGTCCTTACCTTACAGAGTCTGAGAATCTCTCTGAAGCCTTTGGATTTGTATTACCAAATAGGTATAGTTAAACTATTTTTTCAGCTATTTAAATGTGATGCTTTAGAAACCTTTTAATATCAATATCTGCCAAGGGTTTGATATTTTTCTGCTTTCACTGTAAAATAAATAATCTGTATAATATTGTGGTTATTAATGTAAATGGCTTCATGTATCAGATCAATGATGGAATTAGTTAGTGGAAAAAAAACTCTGGTAGATTAATCTTGGTTATAACATTTATGGATCAGAATGGTTTGAGAGACTGTAATGTCGTGGGGCAAATCTCCTCTTCAGTTTTATAGCTACTTTTTAATTGAAAATCCTACCTAAGTTGTAATTCAAAGGCTTTTGTTTTTTTATTATTTCTTTATTCATTCATATGTTTACTAAGAAAAACAGGCCTCTGTTATATGGATGTGAAAAGTATTGAATTAATTCCTTCCCACCCCAGCAAAAAATGACAGACGAAGATTGAGATTTCTTGCCACTGTCTCAGTTAGCAACTGGAGCAGTAGCTGGTATTTTCATTCCTTAAGTGTCTGCTTCCTTTGGAAGTGTTGCTAGGCATTGCTGGTAATTGTTTGAAGACACAAAACACCATGGAAAATAAACATTCATTTAAATTTGCGTTATTTCACGTAGTTCACCTTTTGAAATACCCCAGCTCTCTCCCAGCTGGTTCCTCCCGTGCCCAGTCTCTTCCAGGTCTGCCCTAATCAATTTATTCTCCCTCTCTGCCTCCTTTTCTGTTTTGACAGCTGTGTGCCCACAGCCTGATGTAGCATAACTGAAGCAGGAAGACCTAAGGCAGACATGGAAAATAAAATTATGTTGCTGATGTATGGACAGAACTGAACTCAGTTATCATCAGGAGCAGCCACAATTAATTTATAACTTCTGTTTGGTTATTGATACAAACAAACATGCTCTTGGCTCTTCACCAAAGCTCTGAGCAAATGTTCCTTAGCTATTGATGATTCAGTTGGTTGGAGTGTCTGTTGTATATGTGTGAAAAGTTTCTGCTGCTTTTCTCTTTGTTTATAAATTGATTTGGTTCAACTGCCATTATATGAAATCAGTTGATGTCTTTTCCAGGTGGGCTTTTAGATCTTAAATTTGTGTCTTCCCCTCTCCCCTTTTTTTCCCCCCTTGTTGTTTTGTTGTTGAATCTATGAAAACATTTCTCTTCGTGGTGGCTCAGGGACACCAGCAGAGCAGTGACAGTTCATATCTCACCTGCCTTTGGTTTGGTTTCTGTGTAGCTCAGAGTGAGTCACTTCAGACAGATGAGCATTTTTTACACACTTTGACAGTAATGCAGAGCTGAATTGCTCCTTTGAGGTGAAGGTTATCACACAGAAGTCAGATGTGTCCCAGCTCCCTGCACTAAGTGGAAGGTGATCTGTAGCACCAGTATAAATGCAGTCCATTCTGTGCTTTCCTGCTGGAATTGAGTTAGGGTTGTCAGCATCCTCTTCATCTCCACTGTCCCTCGAGGAATTGCACAAAAAAAATAGTGCAGTGGGAGACTAATATAAAAACAAGTGCCCATGTTGTCACCACAGTTAGATGTGAGTAGATCCCATCAACTCTATGTCCAGAATGGAAGACAGTGCAGAATTTAAAGTGGAAGGGCAAGAAGAGAATCATTAAGAGGTCAGCTACTTTTAGTACGTTACTAAACTTCTCAGAGTTTCTTCATCTTGTAAATATTCCTTACACTTTCCCTCTTCAGTAGAAAAAATTCTGGCAAAAAAAGTGCTCGATGCCCTGAATGACAAGGTAAGGTTTGTCAAACCCTCCCATCCACTGCAGCCTGCACCTGTTGGCCAGTGGGGAAGTGCTTTTATACTCCGAAACAGCACCTTCCGTGCCCTGTACAGGGAGCTGTGGCAAACACAGGAGAGACTTTGTGACATACACAGAAGAGACTTCGTCTGCTTCATGAGCCGTATAAAAATGTGATTAAATGTGCTGTCCCCTAAATGGGAGCAGCACCAGGATTCCAGCCAAAGAGTAATAGGATTCATCTCAAGAACATAAAATGTGGTATTTTAGTGAAATGTGAGGCCTTCCTCTCAAACAATTGCAACAGGTGTTCAGCTTTTGCTTGTTTCCATCATTTCTGCTTAGGCCACTCTGGCAAACACTTGATTTATTCCTCCCTCTCTACAAAATAAATTAGTATATTTATTTTTGCTGGTTGGGTCACCTGCAAATAAATTGGCATGTCATGCTTTCCAGTAAGCATAGCACTGACTCCAACATTTTGTCAGTATACTTGACTTTTATAAGCAAAAAGAGCAATGGGAAAAAGCCCTACAAGAACTGCAGCAGTGAAGTAGAAAACTCTGAGATAAAATAGAAGTTAATTTCCTATTAAATCTACCTGGATGTTTCAATTATTAATTGCCATCTATAGTTATTTAATTCTTGGGTGCCCCAGGAGCACGACAAATGAGAGTATGAACGATAAATGGGGTTTTGAGAGAAATGAGATGGAGCTGATTTCTTGCTCCATTTTCAGCAACATATATCTGGGGAAAGAGCATGAATTCAAAGACTTTGACCCACTGAGGGAATGAGAATCAGCTCAGAGGGTCTAGAAAAATCCAAAGACTTTGCATAAATAGATACTTCATAGTTAGTATGGCTAGGCTGAAGAGACCAATGCCTTGCTTAGTGAGGGAATCGTGTTTTATGGGATACAGATTCCAGCTGCAATAAATACACCTCTTTTTTTAACATAGAACAGAGTGCTACTTATCCAGTCATTATTATAATTAAATCCATTATGATACAGCCATTAGGGTATTTCCCGTAGTGATATATTGTCTGAAATAGCTGGGCTTGTCTTTATTTAAAATTCCATCCTTTTTTAGGGAAAAATTGCTCTCTTTTTGCCTCTTCTACAACTGTGAGTTAGTAATAGATAGTATTGATAGTATTTAATGACACTGTCACTGCCGCTGTTTCACTTAGAAATAAGGCTTGAAGTAACTAATTTTAATGTGTACTATGAACCTGTTTGTTTAGCTGTATCCAGCTTGTCCCTAAATATGTCTGAGTTTCATTTAACAAGGAATTATATCTGAAGAGGTATGTTCATTTCTGCTGCTGAGACGGTAGATTTATTCAAAAGAAACAAATATGTGTATGGCAGCTTGGGCAACAAAAGCATTAACAGGCATTAATCCTAGGGCAGCTTTTTCTCCTTCATTTAAGATCAGATTTATTGGGTCTGTCTCGTTTTCAGAGTGGCTTCCATTAGTGTGGAATGCAGGTTACATGACAGAGCCCTCCCTCCAGGATTTGTGTTTCTATTGTGGGCTCTGCTTCCTTCACGGCTGCCTTTATTGTGTTAAATTATGTTTTATGTGCCCATAATAACAGAGAACGTGGGCTGAAATGTGACCCTTCTTTCTATATTAGAGCACATCAAACAGCACTGTCTGCACAGAATGCACAAACACGGGAGATTGCCACTTGTTTCAGGGTGCATTTGTGGAACCTGGGGGGACTTCCTTTGGCACAGTGTTGCTGAGCTGCTGTGGTCTGGGATGGGTTAGGATGTCGTAAAGCTTTGTCACAGAGGGGGAATTGATTTAGCCTTTGGATTTGTGTTTAATGTACACGTGCAGATCCATTTTGGAGGCTGCAAGGTGGTCTGAGCAGAGGAGGCACAAGGCCGCAGTCAGGTCAAGGCAGCGCTTCAAATCAAACACAATGGGATATCCTTCATCAAATATGGTGTGGGCTCACAGTGCTTGAACTTGGGGCACAAATTAGCTTGTTATTTGTAAGATTTATAGAAATATTCTACATTAAAAATAGAATTGCAGCCAAACTCAGGACAGCAAACTGGAGAAAGCAAAGCTGGTAGCTCACATTCATATGTAACCTCCTGTATTTCAGAGTATTCACATACTCCTCTTATCCATGTGTGGGGGGGAAATAAAAGTTGATGTTCAGTTCAGAACAATGTTAGACCTTTAAATTGTTCCCAGCCACAAATCACATCTGCTGCAGTGTTCCCTGCAAAGTTGCAGAGAATGGACTGGAGAAATACTCTGTGGCTGTTGGAAGAGGTTGCTAAAGCAAACAACAATATAACCACTGGGATCAATTTTTGCAATGCACAGGGATATTCAATAAGTCATTAACAAGATTAATGAACTCTAATAAAAAATTCAAGCTCCTATGCCACATTTTACTCAGCTCACTGTAGCTTAAAATTGCATTTTATGATTTTATTAGACATATTACTTAATTTTTCTCAAACTGCTTCTTTTATTTAGGCTAAAACATATCAAATAGATTTTTTTTTTCCCACAGGGAAATAGAATTTTTTTTTTAAGACTTTATATAGTAGAGTACCTTTATAACATAAATAGGTGTGTAATCAATAGGATCAGTCTGACTTTGTAGCCCATGAGAAGATATGACTCTAAAAGGACATCCAGAGAAACACAGCTCAGTGTGCTCCAGTATGGAGAGGACCAGCTTTCCACTGGAGGCAAACCTGTGTGATGAGACCTTCAGGACAAGTTGTCTGGGTGATGTTCTATGACATGGAGGAGTATATTTGTTTCTCTTGGTAACAGTTGTGAGCTTTCTAAATTAATGAATGAGAAGTGACTCACCAGGAATCAATAACAGAATACCAGAAGCGAGTTCTTCTTTGGCAGTGATTAAGAGTGAAGGAGGCTTAATAACCATCCTCTTGCCTTTGTTTTATCTCTGACCTTATTACTTCTCGTCTGATCCGGTTTTGTGTGTGTTTTATCTGGTCTAAATAATTCAAGCTTCTTGCAGCATCTGAGAAGCTGCCTGTCTTTCATGTCCTACTGCTTAGTGGAAGAGCCTCCTAAGGATTTATTGGAGCCCTACTCCTTCCACATACCTTTGTAGTGTGATGTCTCTGAAGACTATCATTCTTTCAGAAAAAAAAACCTTCTTCAGGAAGCTGAAAAACTCCAGAGAGGAGCAAAAAATTTAAGTGGAGATAGTAACCAGTCTTTCAAAATGTAGTTTCCCGTGAGTCAATGTGCTGGCAGTTTGTGATGCATCCCCGTGTGCTCCACTGTGATCCATCCTTGTGTGCTCCACTGCAATCCCTCTGAGCAAACTCGATGTAGAGAAAGTGGCCTGTGTCAAAAATTTCGCCTTTTGTGCAAGTTTTACTTAATAACTACCTTGAGTCTTCTTTTTTTTACAGCTTTGCACTGGAGAGCAGATCCAAGGCAGAGTATTTTTGTGATTTAAAAGTTAATTTAAAGGACATATAGGGTGTTGCCACATGCAGGAGCAAAGCTTATTTTTGATTCATTGAAGTCGTAGTTTCTGGATTGATTGGTTTAATAACATTTCTTAATAAAGTAAACTGAATGCATCTTATTCCTGGGGGCTCATGGGATGGAAAGTAAGAAGTTTCAGTCTCTTTATAACTTGTTAGCTTTGACTTCACAAAGGATATTAGAGTGCTGTGCTCTGCAATTATTGTTTATACACCCAGCCCTTGTTTGAAAAGACATCTCCATTACAGTGGAAAATGCATATATTTACAGGATATAAGTGAGCTCTCAAGTTTAGCTCTCAAGCACAATCTGGATATGTATTTGAACGATCCATTTACAGCAGTTCCTTTGTACTTCCAGTGTTTTGTCTCTGGGATTGGTGGTCCTGAGGCGGTACTTGAGGAGAGCAATCTTCCAGGGAGGAGATGATTAATAGCCCACTTCAGTGGGTTCCTCAGTTATGAGGCAAGTGAAATGTTTACTCCTTAGTAAAATCTCACAAAAAAAAAAAAAAATTCTTTTCAACAACCACTTACATTCTTCATCTGAATTCCATTCCACTGTTTTACCTTAACGTGGGATAAGGGAGACTCACTGCAATGATTTAAATATTGTGATAAACCCTCTGGGAAAGTACAGACTTGGACCAGGTGTTAATTTATTGTGTTCTTCTTAGAAAACATCTAGGAAAGCTTCCATTTTATGGATTCTGGGAAGGCCTTTAAGAGGTGATAAATGTGGGCAGTGACCTTCAAACACTACAGCTGGGTTTGGAACTTAAACCTCATTCCTTTTCAGCAGAACACACGCTTCCAAAAGTGATGAGCTGCTGTAGATCTCCTATCCACTTGAAATCTGGACATGAGAGAAATATGTAGTTCATCTTACTGAGGACCAAGTTCCTCATTTAAAAAAACCAAAAAAGCATTAGACAGCATTTATGAAGTTTAAAGAGAGAGTTGTTTCTCAATTTCTGGAGTTCACACTTGTATATTTTTTTGGATCTCAGAGGCTGAATGGAGAGAGAAAAAAACATAAAACTTGTGACTCATACTTCTTTATAACTTTTCTATGCAGATTTATTTAATTCTCTACTTTCAAGATTCAGGAAAATTTATTTCCTATTGTACTGAGAAGGAATGAGGGTAAAATGTAAACAGGATAACATACAATTTTGGTTGATTCTTAGCATGATCTCATGCATTCAGGAAGAAAAGGTTCTACTGACAGAAATCATTCAGAGTTTTTTGTCATTTAGAGAAGGAGAATTTAGGAGTCCCTTTCTTGAAATCCTGTGGAAGGCCTTTGGAGAGTTCAGAGACAAGCTAAAATGCAAGATTTCTAAATGCAGGAACAAAGAAGTGAACAGAAAAGTAAAAAGCAGAATGAAACCTCGAGTTGAAAGTGATGCAAAAAACCCTTTGTGTTCTTGTTGTCTGAGGTCAAGCCCATGGGTCTGCCTGGTTTTGCAGAAATTTCCCAAAGAACTGTTAGTTTCTATTAAAATATATCTCCAAATCACAGTTTGAAGAATGGAAAGGCCTGTGTGTAGAAATCACCTGGCATTTAGCTTCAGCTTAATCACCTTGGGACCTTTGGAGACAGAAAGAATGTTCCTTCCTCCTCGCTTCTTCCCTGATTTAAGCACCTCTGCCAGCCTGACAAACCTTCGAGAGGAGATGATCACTTTGCCTCGAGGTGTTGCCTTCTCATTCCTGCTGTGCAAAAAGCTGAATACACAGGGGAATATGAGAACAGCAGAGTAATGCCAAGAGCCTCAGAAGGATGGTTGTTTTGCTTGTAATTTATTCACCAAAAAGGTCAGCTCCAGACACAACATCTGTTTTCCACTGTGATCCCAGTTTCACCACATAATTTTGTATGCTGCTGAAGTTTTCAGGGGAAAAAACAAAGAGATTAATTAGCTGTTTCAGGAGACTTTCAGAAATATTCGGAAATCCTGTTACTATTGTGGACACTTAGTAAAAAAAATTGTTCCAGATGAGATTGAGCTTGGTGTCTTCACCAAGGAAGAGACTTCAATGGGGTGAGAAAATAGCTGGCTGGAAGGAGAACCATTATGGGATAGGATGTATACAGTTATTAAGCTGGAGAATAAATCCTTCAGTAAGAGAAGGATACAAAGTGAGTTTATAGCCTAAAAATGTGGTAGTTAATATTTATGATGTGCATCCACCTTTCTCTGTTTCTTGGCTGGGTGCTCGGTGTCGGCTGGTCTCGTATCAAGTGCAAATGATCATATCAAACAAAGTGATGAATGTCTGTTTGAGACAATTGGAAGGTTATTTCCAGCTTTTATGGGGCTGGTTTATGTAGGGGATATAAGCACAGTACATGAGGTACTCTGCTAACAACACAGAGAGGTGTTTTATTGATCTCCTCCTGTTCCACCTCACTAAATATGCCCATTTTCAGCACCAGGATAATCAAGCAAACATTTAGTGTTAGGAGTGCACGTAGCTACCTGCACCTGCAAGGTCTGCTGAATTCAGAGAGATTCGAAAACTTTTGGTAAAGAGAGGAAGAACAAGGGAAAAATTCCCCACTTCTGAGGTAGTGAGGTAAAAATGATTCAAAGCAAACTGGAGGCCTAAAAATAGGAGCTGTCTTTTAAAATGGCAGATGGGAATTGTGCTCTGAAATTAAAAGACAGATTTTGAAATGAGAGTTGTATGTTCCCAGCCATATATATGCTCTTGAAAACGCTCACCCAAACTGACAGGATTTACATGATGCAAAAAATAAAGCAGGAAGAATTATTGAGCAGAATGGTGAGCAATGAAGGGCTTGAGTCTGTATACCTTTTCTACACATTTTTCTACTGGGAAAAAAGAACTTTCTATATAAAAATATAACTATTTGGTAAATATTGAAAAACCATAAATGTTTGAGCTGGCTCAAAATGTTGGAGACACAAAAACCTGTGATTAATATCTGATTAATTATTAAATAACAACTTTGGTAATATATTTTCCCTGTAGACACAGCTGGTATAACACGTATTAAGATAATTGAGCCGAGCGTGTCTATGTACAAGAATATACATATTATCCAAATGGATTCAATTAAACCCATATCAACAGTCAGTGCCTCTAAAATTAGGAAACAGCTGATATTAGCAGTTTGAGGGCATATTTAATTTATCCCCATTTGGATTTTGGTAACACTAATTTATTCTGTAGAAAATATCCTAAGTGTACAGTAATTTTACAGTAAGTTGAAACGTATAAAGGGGAATGAAACTAATTAAATGAGCAAAAGAGTAAAACAAAAGGCAATGATGAACGCTTTGCTCGGGAAGTGGCCTCGTTCTACTATCTCATGATCAGCTGCTGGATTTTGTATTTATATTTTTCTTAACAATCCTGAGGAAAAAAGCAAAGGGAATATTAATTAAATTATTAATTAAATTCAGAGTTCGTACTGCATTGTGAAGCACTAAGATAACAGTGTGAAGAGAAATAAATCCATTAAATGAGACTCAATAAAACTAACAATACTCAAATGGAATGCATTATAATCCACGATTTTCCTTATTATTATCACATTAAGGAAACCACTTATGTAAATGTGCCTGATGTATCTGATCAGCTGACAACACAACAGTTCCTGGGAAGCGTTTTTACCCCCTTTTTGCAGAAGGAGTGCTTAAGACATGGAGATACAAAGTTATTAGCCTTTGTTGGATTGCTGCAGGAGGCATTTCTTAGTGGTGTGCATGTTTTGATAAGAATAAGCCAATTTTACTCTAAAACTTACATTCTGATAAGACCTCTCATAGAATGATGTATGATACTCAACACCAATTCAGTGCTTCCAAGATTAAATAGGCCACTCCTTTAGCTGATATAAAAATATAAGTTAGAAGTTTAACATCTTGTTCATGCTAATTTGGAGTAAAATATTGACATAGGTTTGTCTGTTCAGACCACAGATTTTTCCATCACGACTGTCAGAACGCTCATATGTAAGGAAAAACAGAGCAAATGGATTGTTCTTGTTTCTTGAGACTGACTCGTTTTGTTTTTTGTTTTCCCAAGGTGCTGCTGCTGCTCTGGCCTGGTTCTTAATGACCCATTCTTCAATTGCTGGCAATATTCATGAAAAAAGACCCTTTGGAAAACCACTGTTTTTTTCCATGCAGATAACTAATGCAAGGGCACTGGCTGGTAAGAGAATTACACTAATGTAACACATTTATAAATACTGCACCTCTACTTTGCCTTTAAATCCTGCAGCACTGGCTGTGACAGCTTTTCTTTCCCACTTAACTCCCACCGTTTCTCCAGGCCAAATATTTTAGGCCCCAGAGTTTAGATTTGCCTGCCATAGCAACCAGGTGAGGTTAGGATGTGTTTTGTCAATACCTTAAAGAGTGGGAGCAATTTGTGTCAAAGGCATTGAAAGTCTTTGGTGATTTTCACAGGAAAAAGCAGCGCTTAATGACAAAGCTATTAGGAAAATTACTTTAAAAGGTGTGTTCTGCAAGATCCAGTGCCTTTGGGTCCTGCAGAAGGTCACCAAAATGTGCAAAATTAACGCACATATTGAAAACCATGCATTTATGGAAAGTCTTAGATCTGAGAATTACTGAAGTAAACTGGTGTGAGGCAAGAATTTTTGCATCAAATCAAAACACTGTAAGTCAATATATGAAGGAGGAATTTACTAAACTGTATTGCAATATTACAACTAATACTATGCAGTAATGAGCCTGTAACTAAAACTGCTCCAGTAGCAACTGTAATTATTTGATAACTTAAAGGAAAAAATGCTTGAGAGACGATCTTGGTCAGGCACTTTTACACAGTCAGACAGCCTTAAGTGCATTTTTTTATCATCTGTACAGTCCATGGGTAGTAATGGTTTCTAGGCAGGTGCATATTTTTTTGATGTGTTGTGTAAATACTCAATCATTAGTTAATAATGACAAAAAGAGTGATTAAATAAAGGTGCTGGTTTGGTATAATTGGCACAGCTGTTCATGGCTCTATTTCAGATAATGTTTATTTCATGATGAACATGTAAGACAGAATGGAGCTGTTGGGATTAGCTTGAGAATTTGAATCAAAGGAACTTCCTCACCAGCAATTTCTTGTCAAAAGTAAAAGAGGAAGGAGGAATTCCTTAAAGCATTGCAGCATCCAAAGATGCTTCTTAGGAACAACAAGCCTTGATGTACATAGTTCTTTTTTTTTGGCTTGAGAGAGGCAGCCCAGTTGTGATTGGAACCCCTAGCTTAAGTTTTGAAGCTTAACAGATTGGACTTGTCTAGTTGCAGTACCCTGCAGATAAAAGACATCCTTCAGCCAGCCCAGTCTCCAATAATTAGTACCTCAGCTCCATAAATATCTCATTTTATCATTGCTGCTGTGACTATCCATGCGTGAAGCCATAAGCTACTCTGGGTGTAAGATCATAAATGAACTGATAATATTAACTGAATGTGATGTAAATCAGGGCCCTTCAGAGCTCACCAGTGAGCAGGAATCAATATTAAGGAAATTGTAAAATTTCAGATATTTTTTGCTCTGATAAATATATTGATTACTTTGGGCTCTTAGGGGAGGAAGGGGAGCACAGCAGTTCCACTAGCACTGGAATGGAAACCTGGATATCTGCTTTTCACCTTACTCTGCTATAAAATAGTCACAGTACCAGTAACATACATTTGCCTGAAGCTTTCTCTATAAACACAGTCCAGGTTTTAGATCCTTACAGTCTAATTTCAGTTCATGTTCATCATTTACAGACACAGATAAATATATCCTGGAGATACATCCTAGCTATGATAAATAAATAGAAATATTTATAGTTAATAGTTTGGGGATTAGAATAGCTCTGCTATTCAATCCATATTTCTCTCTCCACTCACTGCTGAAAAGTCTAACAAGATTAGACTCCTAATTTAGGCAGCCATGCTAGACATCTCAGGTTAGCTAGAGCAAATACTCCTAATAATGGAATTTGAATATATGGTAAAATAACAATGACTAAAGAAACATCATTAGTCTGGTGGTAAAGCCTGCTCTGAGCGAGTCTCATCAATGCACACCATAACTGGAATCCTGCACCACCTATGCTCAGGCTCCCAACATTTTTCATATCCAAGTGGCTGAAGTTTTGGTAGCAATATTAGGAATTACTGCAAAAAATTCAAAGGCAAGGAAGGAGAGCTTTGGGAAAAGTAGCATCTTGTTTGCAGCGTTAAAGTAACAGCTGAAAGGACTTGAATTTTGTAAAGGTTTATTTTCTTTTCCCGTCTGTTCTACCTTTTCACTACATACTTTCTTTTTTCATTTTTTATTCAAGTTCTGATTGTAATGGAGTTTTCCGAAAGGCTTTGGAGAAAACACTTGTGTTGATAAAATGAGGGAACTTGTGAAAATAAAAGTTTTGAAAGCAGTAGTGGGTTTTCAGTCAGAAGGACAAAAATATAAAGACATTGGTTTAATGCGACCTTGATTTCTTTAAGACTTAGCAATTCCTTTTGAAAGCAAGGAAAATCAGACTTTTCCATTCAGAGTAATTATATAATGAGGAGGTTGAATATACATTCACATCACTGTTAGATACTGCTTTTAAGACAAGAAGACTTTCTTTATTCATTTATTGAAATAGCCTGTCTTTTTTTCAGGACCTGACCCAAACCTAATTACAATCAAAAGTAGAACTCCATCTGCTATGTAGTACTACTGATTTCAGTAAAAATGAGTATTGGAAAGAAGATTTCAAACAAAAGGATGTGAGAAAATTTCAGCCAAGAAGAAATTATGGAACTCTGTGGTTCAGAATTGTCTGCTTACCAGCATTTCGTTATTGCTGTCACATCTTAGGGGTGTGAACCACTTTTTAAATGTATATTCCCTGAACAGTGGATTTTGAAAGCCTGTCAGAAAAATCAACCCTTTTAACAGCATTTAAATCTGTACTCAGCCTTCAATATTACTGAAATCTCTGTGGGACTTAAACTTATCCTTAAATGCTGCCCCTAGGAGAAATTTTCCTGAGTAACTAATTTTCTGAAACACGGCCTATAAATGTGCTGAAAAACAGCAAAGCGCTTTTGTCTTCCCATTTCCCGACCCTCAGACCAATTATAAAAACATTGATTTTTAAAAGTTCTTCCAAACGAGCTCTTTGCCTGTCAGAGCGTGTCACGCGTGTCAGTCACATTTCAAGCCGTGGATTTGAAAACCGACCTGCAGAAGCAGCTACCTTTGTCATAAATTTAACTTGACAGCTTCTCTGCGGGGCTTTCAATTAGGATCTTTTTTTTTAATGAAAAAAAGAAAGGAAGAATGAAATGTCAGTCCAAATCCACTGAGCAAATGCTGCTGTATGGGAGGTCTACGAGTATTGTTTTTCTTCTTCAGTCTGCAGGATGATCAGGAACATAAAATGCCAAGTTTGGGATAAAAAGAACTTTAAAAAAAACCTCATTGCAGGCACATAAAATAGCTGGTTTGGCTGTCTGAGGGGTCCGGCGGCTCTGAGGGCCTGGTGGGTTTCCCTGAGGGCTGAGGGCAGGAGGCTGAGGGGTAGATCTGTGACGCTGCTCGTAATCCCGTGTTTTTCATTTAAGACTCGGTCCTCTTGATGGAGAAGTTTAAAAAAACCCGTCTTATTTCAGTGCTGGTTGCTAAAAGCATGGATTCTGAGGAGGCAGGAGCTGGTGTGCCCGGAAAAAGGTGAAACTCAGGCGGGGTAAAAGATTCCTTTGCCTCAAGGACAAACTGCCTCACGGTGTCCATTTGATAATTGTATGGGTTTGTGGGAGCTGCAGTCCCTGGAAGCTCTCCTCCCACATCTGCCTCCCAGGGGAATTTGGGGAATCCCAGAATTCTATGATTCCATGAAAACACTGGCTGGTTTTTACGTCGAAAGAGACCCCGTCCGGCCCCGCCTCAGAATTGCCGCCATGATAGACCGTGTCAGCTGAGGTGAATGCTACAGCCCCGGCTCCAGAACTCCGGAAAGTTTCCTCATGAACTGTGGAGAGAAAACACGTAATTGAGTTTATAGCTCAAAAAGTGGTAAAACTACCCTTGAAGCAGTCATTAAATGTGAATTGATTAAATGATTTCTGACTGAATCATCAGCAAGTATTAAACACAAACAGCGTGAGTGTTGTGAGGGGGAGGCCCCACATCCAGGCCAGTTCCTGAAGTCACACTGACTTTGTATTTGTCACTGAAACATGGCTGGAAAACTGATAAAAACACTTTGGATGGACACAAGGGATGAATGTGCAAAGGAGGCCATGCAACATCCCACAAAGACTGTCTTTGAATATGTCCCACACCATCATTCCTCATCCACTGCCTCTGCGTCTTCTGTTGAAGCTGTAACTGTGACAGCATGACAAGGTATGTGCTGCATTTTTTAAAGATATTTTCTTTTTCAAATAGCTGTTAATTATAGATGGGAAACAACTGAGAAATGAGGATGAACTTCAAAAGTTTGTTGGAATTTCTCTGACCTGTAATTACTCTGATGCTTTTGTGTCATATCTATGATGACTATTTTGTGGGAGAAAAAAGGAAGGCTATATGAAAATGTTTCAGTATTATGAATGTCTCCTATTCAGTGTGGGAGTGGTTTGGGGGCCTTAAGCTGAGATAACTTACAGCCATCAGATCATCTTAGCAACTATTCCTCTAATTGCAAGTTTTTTTCTAATCCATGATTTCTGAACTCCAGATCCTGGGTAGCTAGAAAGCGTCTCAGACTTTAATTGCCAAATTGTCTCCCAGCACTAAGCCTCCAGCAAACAACCAGAGTAAGCTACAATTTTAAAAGAACTAGACTAAGAAATAACATTCCCCTTTTGAAAAAATATCGAGACCGTTTTATTTTTTCAGAATTCATGGTTATCTTTAAACCCACTGTTTCCAGATAATATTTACATTTCAAGAAAGAAAGATTTTAAATTAAGCTTTATTTTTTAAATTCTTGTTGGGCTCTTAGTATCTCCCTATTTTGAAAACAATGGGACCAGTAGTTAAGAGACTGGTACCTAGTGAGGGCCACTATCTTGTGTGGAAAGGCTGAGAATCAGAGGCTGAAAAAATAT